TTCTGTCAGTCTTCCTAAGTTATTTATGAGAGAAATACTCTTATATCATTGGAAAGTGTAAAGTATTGCTATCAAGGCTATTTTGTCAATAGAAAATATATTTTTTGGGTATTGGTATAGTAATTTATAAATTTTTTATTTTGTTGTTGTTTTTCAAAATGCTTATATAAAGTCTACAAAATTATTTTTCCATCTCCACGTGTGAATTTGGACGAGGCTTAGCAAGTATGGCTCATGACAGACAGATTTCTTCTGGCATTTATCATTCATTATTTTCTCCTATCATTGCTCATATCTTCTAATGTTTCCCTTTATTTGATGTTCTGTTTACATTTCAGGTTTGTCCTCCCCCCCCCCCCCCCATGTCAGAGTTTTTGCCATCTTCAGTATCGGAAGTTATAATTTTCCTATACTGAAAATGTATTCCCAATAGGTACTTCCCTCTTCTCACACTTCCCACCCTTCCTCTCTACACACTTCTGGTGCTTCCGTTTTCTGCCAAACTTCGAAGTGATAGTTCGGTAGAGGTGCATAGAGGGAGTCACATGAGTGTACTATGCTCCTGTTGGTGGAGAGGTGATGCATGATGATTTACATAACAGCCACTTGATTCCAATAGAGGGAGCAGAAGGCTTGTGGCATGCATAAATAAAATGTTTGCATATAGGGGGCAGCAGTGAACAATAATAGCTAATCTTGTGAGCGGAGGGAACTACCTATCGGAAGGGCATCTTCAATATAGGAAAATTATAACTTTCATGTAAACCTATAAAAGTGCATTTTTTGGTATTATAGCCCATATTTCTGTCATTAAAGATGTGAGTATGATGAAAGTCATCATCATATGGTGTGTTTGAAGCACTTCAGTTACAATACTGTCTATTCTGAATCAACACTGCATCTAGTCATCTCTTTGTGTTCTTGTGAATTTTTAAAATCTGGTTTAATATCAACAGCACATGCCTGCTGATTTTGTACATTATTTCCTGTAGTAAACCTGTGATATTTTGTCTTTAAAAATATAACTTCAACTGTGGTTTCTATATCTGAAAATACTTGAACCAGGAAAAATGTTGACAGCATCAAACCAGAAGTTGTTAAGTATTGATTTTATTAGTCAAAATTTTGATTAATCACGCAAAAATTTCTTTTTATCACAAGAAAGAGCAATTTATTTTATATCCAATTAAAAAGTATGTAGCTAATAAACCAGAAGTCTGCTTTGTATGAGCAAAACAGGCCTTTTTTTAATACATAGTGTTTGCTTATTGTAGTAAATAAACTTGTTAAAAGTGTAACCTTATAAATATTTATGTTCATGGGCCATATGGTGAAGTAATGTCTTTTACAAAACTATTATTGCTTAATTGTTTATTATACACCCTTCTGATGATCCTTATAAACTCCAGTAAGTTAGTGAAAAAATTAAACTTCTGCTCCCAGACAGTATAGTAAACAAAGAGAAGGGAATATGTTATCTATACATATAAAACAGGACTATGCCTATGGGATATACCATATTGCATTAGCTAGAAATTAGTACTAAAAAGGTCAGGGATGAAGAAATGATCTCCCCCTTGTTGATTTAGCTTTTGTTATTAAGACTTCTCCCCCATCTTCTGCTGGAGTTATCTGGGTGAAATGGTTTTTGTTCTGTTATTATTGTATATTTAATAAAAAAAAAATTCTAAATGGCAAATCTTTAATGCTTTTGTTCATTTAACAGGGTATAGACTCCTTTGTAGAGCAGGATGTAGAAGAGGCTAGACAAATGAAGAATTCTTATCCTAGACCATTGAACATCATTGAGGGTCCACTTATGAAGGTTTGCTGGAGGAAACACTTTTATTTCTTGATGTGAAAAATAAATAAAGTTAAATAATATAAAGATTTTGTTTAAATGATATGTGGAAGCTTATGAACTTGGTAAATATAACTGCAATCAACTTCATACTGGTATCTGAAAATCAATTCACTGATATCATATGCCTTGATGTTTTATCTCTATGCAAGTCATTTTCAAGTTTAAGCAGAAACAATACAATGAAACCACAATGCCTTGGCGAGTGAATTGATTCCATTGTTATAAGTGTAAGGAAAACTTGGATATACATTCATTGATTCCATTGTTATAAGTGTAAGGAAAACTTGGATATACATTCATTGATTCCATTGTT